GTTCCGGCGGCTGGTGCCTCCGCGCCGTGACGCAACTGCAGACGTCGTCAGCGGAGCCGAAGCACTGCTGGGCACTAGAACGAACGCATCCCCATAGCCTTGCTCGCAGCTGCAGCTCCAGAACCTCCATCCCACCTCAGCCCATCCAGTCCCTGCATCGCCGTCGCTGCCGAGCTCTCCCGCGTCGCCTCTGCGTCTTTTCTACGCACCGTTTTCTTCTTCTTTGTCTCCCAGCCCCTTCTTAGTGACGCAGATCCCTCCCCAACATGATGAGTTGGTGGTCGTCTTCGGCCAACACGGCGCTCGACGAGCAGATCGAGAAGGCCACGAGCAGCAGCCTGTATGGACGCCTCATGCTGCAGCGGTGACGAAGACTGGCTAACGAGAGGATATACAGAGAAGATATTGCGCTCAACCTCGAGATCTCCGATGTCATCAGATCCAAGACGGTGGCGCCCAAGGCGGCCATGCAATCACTCAAGAAGCGCATCGGCAACAAGAATCCAAACACCCAGCTCAGCGCCCTCAACGTACGTTGCCAGACATGCCCCCTTTGCATAGTGCATCCTCTGTTTGGATCCAACAATGAGCGCAGCCCTGACACCAGCCTCTCTATATAGCTCACAGACACATGCGTGAAGAATGGCGGATCTCATTTCCTAACCGAGATCGCCTCCCGCGAGTTCATGGACAACTTGACCTCCCTCCTCCAAGCCGTTGGCCCAGTCGCCATCAATGCCGAAGTGAAATCCAAGATCCTCGAGCTTATCCAGTCGTGGGCCGGCGCCACAGAAGGGCGATACGAGCTGTCTTACATCGGCGAAGTATATAAGCGGCTACAGCGAGAGGGATATCAGTTCCCTCCGCGGGTCACGGTGGCGAGCAGCATGATTGACAGTAGTGCAGTAAGTAGCCGGAATGACTGCTTCAATATCTGCCCTCCTCTTTTAGGGCAGTCGACTAATGCGAGTCAAACAGCCGCCTGAATGGGTTGATTCTGATGTCTGTATGCGATGTCGAACGGCGTTTACCTTTACGAATCGAAAACACCATTGCCGGAATTGCGGCAACTGTTTCGATCAACAATGCTCCAGCAAAACGCTTCCACTTCCTCACTTGGGAATACTTACTCCCGTGCGAGTCGATGATGGATGCTATGCTAAGCTCACTAACAAGGGATTCAAAGAGCCCAACCCCTCTCTCGACCGCACACCGACGTATCCTCACAAGACCCGCAGCACATCTGCTATGCAGCCACGGAACGCGCGCGTAGATGACGGATTTGACGAAGATCTTAAAAAAGCATTAGCGATGAGCTTAGAGGAGGTGGGCAATGCTTCTCGTGGCAGGGCGGCTCCTGTAATCTCAAATGGGCCAAGGACGAGTGGAGGGGATCCAACCTCGGCGAAGCAAGCTGAAGAGGAAGATGACGATTTGAAAGCTGCTATTGCTGCTTCACTGGCAGACATGGAAGAGCAAAAGAAGAGACATGCTGCTGTCTTGAAAGAACAAACATCGGGACCAACCGCCTCATCCTCTGCCACTTTCACGCTGCCCAAGAACGACTACGAGCTGACCGCAGTGGAAGCCGAGAATATCAACCTCTTTGCCACATTAGTCGACCGTCTTCAGACTCAGCCTCCCGGCACTATTCTGCGCGAACCGCAGATTCAGGAACTCTATGATAGCATTGGCTCACTGCGCCCCAAGTTGGCGCGAACATATGGTGAAACAATGAGCAAGCATGGTAACATTGATCTTGCCACCCTGCCGCGTCTTTCTTTTGATGTCTAACAAGTATGTCTAGATACTCTTCTTGATCTACATGCCAAGCTATCTACTGTTGTACGATATTACGACCGGATGCTTGAAGACCGGCTCTCAAAGGCATACAGCCAGCAAAATCTAGGCGGATATAATCTCCCACCACCTCGCCAATCCTCCGGACCTTACCCTTCAATACATTCACATGCGCCAAGCAACTCAGTTGGAGCCGAAAGCTTTTATTCGAACCAGCAACAGCCAGGATATGCGCCGTCAGCGCCACCAGGACAGCAGCTGTATCAACTACCGCCTCAACAAGCGATGCCGCAGTCCCCCTACCCGCCTTATGCCGGAATGCCAGCACCTGACGCATCTGGACCTTATGCCCCTCAACAGCGAACTGACAGCTGGAATACTCGGGCGCCATCAGCCCCTGAGCAGTTTCAACAGCACCAGCCCCAGGAAAATCCCGAAGAGAGAAGACATCCCCCTCAACAGGCAGCCTCATCGCCCTCAACAGACCCGAACGCTTCATACTACTTCAACACCGCACAGCCCTTGCAGAACGCCCCTCCGGCGGATGCAAGCCAATCACCATATCCCAACCTGAACCAGTCGCCTATGCCTTACCATAGGGGCTCCGTATCAGCACAGGCACAAGCCACTCCCGTTCAGGCTGCGGCTCAACCCTCACAACCTCCCAACGCAACACCTCAAATGCCCACTCACTCGCAGATGCCGTCTGTTGCAACACCCCAGCAGCCGTATCACCAGGATATGCCACCTCAAGCGTCACCTTATCAAATGGGTATTGCGCAGCAGCAGCAACCGCCAGCCCCTCCGCCTGATTGGGCTGGTTACGCCAACTACGCAATGCCCCCTGCACCACAGCACGAGCCTGTGCAGCAACAACAGCCGGTCAAGGAGGAGGCGCTCATTGAGTTTTAGTTTCTAGTTTTATTAATCTGGCGAAAAGAAAGAAATATGGCGGGGACTGTCATGAGATGTGGATTACACTGTGACATCAAGGGGACTTATACTACAACGCGGCGTTTTTTACGATTGCTGGATAGCGTGTGTGCGGCAACATGGGTATTCCGTAGCCTGTCAGAATGACTGCTGTTTTGCGCTTCTTACCCTTGAAATCTAAATCTTGAATTTTTTCTAATTGCAGCGTAGGTATATAAATTTTTGGAGTTTGTTTCCCTGAAGCTATAAGCACCTCGGAGCTCCGAAGTTGTAAAGCCGCAGACATGCAGTAAGATCACTAATAGACATCTTATCAAAAGGGGCACTCCGCGTGAAGTGACTGCCATCTCGTATTCATCATTCCATTTCGTCCATTCCGCAGGATAGACTCAGACAAACTTGATCTTGCCGGAACATTAAAGGCACCAATTGGGGCGGCCGTAATAGGCCATGCTGAGGCATTATGACTGCTAGCCAGTTAAGTGGATATCCTTCCACTTACGCCTCTTATTGCCACTTTTGGACTTTCAGTGATTGATAAGAATGACGTCCGTATTAAAGAACGAACGACTTTTATCATGATAAAAGCATGTGGCAATTGGGCTTATTTATTTGTTTCATTCTTCTTCGTCAAGCTGTTATTTTTCTGTACCAGGGTTCGTATTAGTCGCCGGAGCCGGAGGCCATCCATCATTTTTTTTTTCGCCCCCGGGGCCGGGTGACCCTCTCCGTCAAAGGATTCTTTTTGAGTCATCCATCCGAAGTGGAATTGCTGCATGAGGTAGGCGAGCCGAGTTTTTTAAATGGAGACGAAGATGATGCACGTTCGGAGATCAGTGGAATAAGACGGCGTTGGCTTAGTCGTTGCTCCTTTAATTATTGTTTTCTTTCATTATAATAGCTATAGACTTATTTCAACTTCATTTTTCTTTACTACTTAACAATTAAACTCACTGCTTGTCAATACAATCTCATTGATTCGCTCATTTATATCACAAAAGGGTAAAGCAAACATGGCTCCAACGATCCATCTCGTCCGCCACGCCCAAGGCTACCACAACCTCTCCAAGGAAAACGAAAAGCTCCCCGACCCAGACCTCACCCCCCTCGGCATCCAGCAATGCGCCGACCTGCGCGCCCAGTTCCCGCATCACGCCAAGCTCAAGGGCCTCGTCGCCTCGGGCATGCGCCGCACGCTGTACACGTGCATCAACGCCTTTGGCACTGATGAGCTGTACCCCGTGATTGCCCTGGACACGCTGCAGGAGTGCTCCGATGCGCCCTCCGACACGGGGTCGTCAAAGGAGAAGCTGGCTGCTGAGTTTGGTGAGAAGGTCGACGTGAGCAGGATCCGGGAGGGGTGGGATTTCAAGGGCGAGGGGAGCTATTTTGAGCCTTCGCTGGATAAGCTGCCGAAGAGAGCGAGAGATGCCAGGTTGACATTGAGGGAGATTGTGGCTGGTCTGGGGGATGATGCGCACATTGCTGTGGTTTCCCACGGTGCCTTTTTGCACTTTTTGACTGAGGACTGGCATGGAATTACTGAGATTTATCGTGAGTTTGCAATCCTTTTTCCCTTTTGCTTGAAACAGTTTGAAAAAGCGAAAAAAGTGAAAAGGAAAGAAGCAAAGAAACAACAAGAGAAGTCAGTCATGTTAGGACATTGCCCAACTAACACAGACTCCAAAACAACAGCCACAAGTTGGAAGAACTGCGAATACCGCTCCTTTCAATTCATTGATCCTGCAGGCCAGGATCCCAACGCCGAGATGCGCGAGACTGACGAGAGCTGGCGCCGGCGACACGGTAGTTTGGAGGTTCCTACCGCGGGAGAGCAGCGGGAACTGCGCCAAATGATGGAGCGAGAACTTGCACCCTTTTTCAAAGTGAATAATCACATATAAAGGTCCAGCGGGGTCCAAATGCAAAGCTGTAGACTGTAGAAAGCATTATGGACAGTCACTAAACAGCTTAGATGGAATCATATCTTGGAAGCATGGGAGTAGATTTTTAATGTTAAAAGGAGAAAGAAGGGGCCAGATACAATATTAGAGTAAACATGTCACTACACTATAGAAAGTGTCTAGAGAAAAGCCACATGGAAAGGCCATATAGATAACCGCAACATGCTTAATAAAACTTCAATAGTCCATCAAGAGAATGGATACAGAGTTGAACCACTCTTGAATAGATCGAGAAACAGGCGCCAATAGCTGCCTCCACCCATAAACTCCTTGGAACATACTCTGCTGGATCATCTCGAGCCCCTATTTTCTAAGGTGGGCATGGACACTTCGAATTGTTTCCCAAGTGACAAGCTGTATTTCGCGAATGTAGATCGACCAGCCAAGCTCAGATGAACTGTCTGGCACAGGTTCGCAGAGGCAGTAGCATTTGCCTTCGGCTTCTGTTGCAACAGCGAAGTGCGTAGCTTCGCATTCAACAGAGCATCCCTTTTGCTTATACCAATCGACTCCAGATTTATAACGCATGAGTACTCCACTCAAATGAGGCATTCCTCCAAACAAGTCTTCCAGCTGAAAATATTGATAATGTGGAGGAAAATCTGCGCAACCAAAGTTGACAACTCGTGCAAAGAGTTCATATACCGCCCCATCAGTGAATGGGAGCTTCTTTGCAAGTATCATCTCGTTGATGTGGAAAAACGTCGTGGAAGGCTCAAGTCTCATGTCTCGAAATGGGAACTTTGGCGAGTCGGAAGTTGTAGTGCCAAACTTTGGTGGCCAGGTAGATGCATAGACATACGATCCGTCTGATCTTGGCGTGAGATGCTTCATGACAAACTCATACACGCTTCCATGCGGTTTCATGTACCTTATCGAAAAGGGCTCGTGACTGCCTGCTTCATTTGCGCCTTCAGAGCTTTCAGGAAGTGTCTGCTGCAGGAGACAGCCAAGCTCCTTTCCAGTAGAGACACCATTATTTAACTTGTTCGAGTTAGCTAGGTGAATCTTTGAGGTATCACAGTCGACTCAATCAACTCACAGACTCTTCCATCTCAACATCACCAGTAATCTCTGCATTTGGATATCTTGCAGGCAATCCCGTAGGTAAAGCGTGACGCTTCCACGCAGGCTCTGCTACGGCGCCCGGCTCGATATCATCGTGTGGGCGTTTTTTACCGCCCTCAAGCACTACCTGCGAAATGTACGTGTCCATCGCAGCTCTGGGATACGTTAGCCCATGCAATACGCTCCAGCTTGGATATCCTGGAGCTCACTCTTTTTGATCAGTTTCTCTGCAGGATGCAGAATACTGCCTTTCTCAATCAACGAGGAGAATCGACTGCTACACGAAGCAGCTCGTGCACTCCAAGAAGTATGGAGGCGTGCCGAGGGAAAGAATTAATTGGAAAGCTTCTCAAAATGCAGGCTGCAGATGCGGCAGAGAAAGAGAGAACAGAAGAGCATTCACATTTCCGCCACCTTCGACTCACTTGAATTAAGCTGCAGCCTGACGAAAGTCGCAAAAAGAGTGCAGAGGGGAGAAATTAAATTCTGCAGTGCACATTCCATGAAATGCTCCTTCCCTGTGAGGGCAGCTGTGAGGCGCCTGTCGTGACGGCCGAAGCTCCTGCCGTGCCCTTTCCTATTTGTTTCGGTATAACATTGCGTCATTCAAGTTCTTAGTACCAGGGAATTGAGGCATCAATTGTCACTGGCAGTTCAGCAATCGGTCAGAATAGATTGCAAGTCACGCGAGCAAGGAATTACCCAAGTATAATGAAGGGTTTCTATAGGTATAGCCTGACAATGTCCAGGTTGGTGCACAGTAACAAAACATCACCAAGATTGCGGCTGTGAGGCTTGAGCGTAAAATTCAGCTTTCATTCGCTACGCTATCATATTTTCATACATGTAAAGCCTTCAGCGCTTCGTCCATCATAGCTCTTTCTCATCCTCCCAGACACCTTTAGTCCCTCCAAGATGCTTTGCCCACCTATTCCCCCGAGAACGCCAAACTGATATACTTGGAGCTCAACATAACGCGAACAAACATCCATGGCTCGATCTTTTTTTAAATAGTAAAGTTGAGAAGAAAACAATAAGAGGGACGTAAAAAAGAAGATACCAGAAGAAGTGGTAATTAATAAAAAAGAATTGCTTAGTTTTCTCTCTCAAAGACTGGTTCCCCTCCACCGATAGGGTATCTCTTGAGAAATAATGGAGGAGTGGTGAATGTATAGAGCAGTAAAATGGCGCAGAATAAAACAAAAGAATCAGAAAACCGAAGCGAAGTTGAAAAAAATTGTATAGGGCGTCGCATGGTGCCAGGCGAGCCGGAGAAAATGGTGAAGAGATGGTTGATTAAATCACATAATAATGGCAGGGATGTCAACGTTGGCCTTGATAGACTTGTGCGGCAGAACGCTGCCACCGTTGACGTAGATCTCGTCGCCAATGGTAACATCGTCACCAAGAACAGTCACGTTCTCGAGACGGGCCCAGCGGCCGACGGTGCTGTTCCAGCCAACAATCGTCGACTTGACCCATGCGTGGTCCTTGACCTTGGAAGAGGCCAACAGGACGCATCGCTGCAGACGAACGCCGTCGCCGACGACGACGTCGGGGCCAATGGTGACGTTGGGACCTATTCTGCAGTTCTTTCCGATCTTGGCGGTGGGGTGGATCAGGACGTTGCCTCCGTGGACGTAAGATTCGGAGGCTGGTGTGAGCTCCTTGCTTCCCTTCTTGGTGAGAGAGGACAGGTACAGGCAGGTTCCGCTAAGGAAATCCTTGGGCTGTCCAACATCCATCCAGAAACCCTCGAGGTCGAAGGAGTGCAGCTGGTTATCAGCCACCATGGCGGGGAAGGTCTCCTTCTCGATCGAAGTGGGGCGAAGCTCAATGCGGTTCAGGACGGAGGTGTTGAAGATGTACATGCCGGCATTGATACGGTTGCCGACAAACTCGACGGGCTTCTCGACGAAGCGGTCGATGCGAGAGGGGTGGTTGGGCTTGTGGACAACGACACCATACTTGGAGGGCTCCTCCACCTTGGTGACCACAATGGTACCCTCATCGCCGTGGCTCTTGTGGAAATCCAGCAGCTCCTTGAAGGGATAGTCGCAGATGACGTCGGAGTTGAGAACGAAGAAGGGGGAGTCGTCCTTGGCAAGGATGCTCTCGGCGAGCTTGAGAGGGCCGCCGGTGTCGAGGGGCTCTGATTCGACAGAAAACTCAATGTTGATGTTGTATTTTGCCTCGTACTAAAATGTCGGACGTACGCAATCAGTCTCATATATTCACGTCATTGGAGGAGAGCGGATCTGGAGGGGCAAAAGATCTGTGCGACATAGTCGCAAACAAGGAATGAGGGGTCAAGTGCAGGGCTCACCTCTGCTAGGAACTTCTCCATAATCTCAGGTCGGTAGTTGACGGCGAGGACGATATCAGTAACACCGGCGGCAACGAGAGCCTCGATCTGGTGCACAATCATGGGCTTGTTGCAGAACTCGACAAGAGGCTTGGGAAGCGTCAGGGTCTAGATGTCGTCGCACAATGGTTAGTCGCTGGCGTGTGTGATGCTGCGTTTGCGGTGGTTCCTCCCCCTCCATCCCCCCCATTTTTGCATCACTGCCATGGTGGGATGCAGGGCCGAGGGCCGTATAGTGTAGAACGTACGAGAGGGCGAAGGCGAGTGCCAAAGCCGCCGACAAGAATAAGTCCTACATGGGAGGAGCTGTTAGCTTTGCCATTGGAGCAAGTGGTCGTTTGTGGTAATCAGAGGCGCGCCGTACCCTTCATGATGGATGTCTGCCGTGGTGCGGAGGTCGTCAAAAGGGGGGGGGGTTAAAGAAACAGAGTAATAAACTAGTATATCAGGTAGAGAGCGTAGAGAAGAACGAGCGACAATGCAATGCTCGCAAAGCGAATAAAGTCGACTCGAGAAGAAGAAGGAAAGATGGCCAAGCGGTGGTGTTTTGCAGAAGGATGGGAAGAGTAGAAGAAAAAAAAAAAAGAAGAGAGGAGGGAGAAGAAGACGTTCAGGTTGGCGTTGGCCGTCTTTAGGTGTCCAGATGTCAACGGACACGAAGTCACATCACGCAGTAGCACGGCGCGCCGGGTACTTGGTGGCTGCGACTCCGTAATGCCTTGGTACCCTTTCATTTCGCAGCAATTCACGAGGCCTGCGGGGCGCCCATTAGCGCGCTGGGCTTAGCGGTTTCTCGTACAGGCACCGCGGGGGCTCAACACGGCCTAGCACCACTTCTTACAGCGCCGCAGACGGTCCCTGCCGCCCCTGAGGCACCGCGCAGAGCGATCAATTGGCTGGAATTCCAGGTGTCTTCAGAGCACCGCACATCAAAAGACCAGCGCTAACACTCTAATTGAGCGCGACGAATTTGAAGGGCTGTACTGCCGCAAATAGTGCCACCTGTAGTGCCAATACTATGCTCTGGAGGTGGCAAGGTACATGTACCTCTCGCCGAGTGTAAGAGCCATGGCAAGTCTAGTACCTGTATCAGAAGACTTTCAGACACGAGCAGGCAGTGCGGGGGTTCAAGTGATCAGGGGTCCTCTCCAATTTCAGACGCAGGGCCAATCAGCTCCGGCAATGCGAGCATGAAAATTTCCCACGCGGCTCCAAGGGAAGGGTATAAAAGCTGGAGGCGAAATTTGGAAAGCGGCCCGTGAGGCTGGCTGCTCCGTAATGATCCGGTTGATCATGCAATCTGACTGTAAGTGTTTTTGCCATGGCAGTATTGCCTCTACTCTAGAGCAGACTTGAACTTAAGTCGGGGTGCGACACCTACTGCCGACCTGCTACCTATGGAATACACCATGGCAGGCAAAGATATCAATAGCGACACTGCTGGAATGGCGGAGCATAAAATTCTCAGCTACGTCTCGAGATCTGCAAGCGTTGATCGCACAGGAATGTCTCGCCTCGTCTTGCCTCTCAGCCAATTTGGCCGAGACCGTCCGACTGCCCAATACACCCAGTAGCCGCATCCGGGTGCAACGCCATCACAGACTATCACGCAAGCAGCTCACACCTCGCATCTCGCATCGATAGATTGCTTCTTCGTATTCTGATGAGTAGAGCGCCAGGAATACCCTCATCTGGCTCGGGCAGTGCCACTTACATGCAAAGGGTGGCTCGTAAATAAAATCACTCGCGCCAAATAATGTTGTCAGCACTGTATTCTTTGCTACCCCCTTATTCCTGTGCTCCTGCAGCTCTTCTGACGTTAATCACATCAATTAATGCCTCTGTTGACCATCACATTTTTACGTCACGCTTCAATTTACAATAAAGAAATAAGAAAAGCCAAGTCAATCGTCCTCTTGTTTCTTCATGTTAGAATTCTACTCGTTATTAAACCTGTCATTGAGAAGTAACCCTCACGCCACTTGTATATACAGAGTACATACACCTCCCCTGCTATTAATTAAAAACTCCATCCATCACAAGACCCCCATCACATCGTATCGCATCGCATCATCACCCTCGATCCAGCCAACATACCCATCCCATATCCTTTCGCTAATCTTACAAACGAGGAAAAGAAGAAGAAGCAAAGTCCCAAAGAAGCGCCCCTCCTTTACTTCCCGGAAATAACCATCCATGTCCTCATCCCGCCCTCCCGTTTCATCTCCGCCAAGATATTTTTGTTCCCCCCTCTTTCCGTCTAGCTGGGCCTTGTGTGTTGTTGGTTTGCTCTCAACCTTTGCCCTTGCAAATCCTAAATCGCTCCAACGGGAGAGCAGAGAGTGAGAGAGAGACCCTTGGCCTGGCCTTGTCGGTCGCGGCCCACGGCCACTAAAATTAGAGTAAAGCGGACGTTTCGTTTCTTGTGTGTGGCTTCATCGGCGGTTGCCGACGCCTTGACCTAGCGGCTTTTTTTTCTCCTCTCCTCTTTTGTTTCTTGTTCCTGAGCTATGTTGTGCCACATTACGTAGGTGCCAGAGCCTCGGGTTCTTAGGCTGTCACTGTTTTGACTACTCCTCCTCCTGCCAAGGGAAGAGGAGTAGGTGTCCGCCAAACGTGCCGAGCATCACATTATCCTCTCGTCATGACTTCTCATAGCAGCCATGAGGCAGTTAGTGAAAAGAAAAAAGTAAACTTTTGAAAAATGTTCAAAATTCATCATCCTGATAGCTCTAGCATCACCACAAAGCACAATGACCAGACACCAAGTAATCATAATGAAA